GTTTTACGAAATTTTAAACTGTGTGTTACTTTTCTTATACTGTGTGTTATGAAAATTTCTGTTTTACGTAACTTATATGGTTTCATAATTTATCTGTGTGTTCTTTTACTTATCTGTGGTTACTGTAATTTTATACTGTGTGTTACTGTACTTATACTTTTTACTGTAACTTATCTGTGTGTTATGTAACTTAACTGTGTGTTACTGTAACTTAAAGTGTTTACTGTAACTTATCCCTTGTGTTACGAAATTATCTGTGTTTTTACTTTTATTTAACGTGTGTTACGAACTTTCGTGTTCTGAACTTATACTTTTGTTACTTTTACTTTACTGTGTTTTTATGTAATTTACTGGTGTTACGTAACTTTACGGTGTTTCTGTAACTTTTATTTGGGTTACTGTAACTTTACCTGTTTTTCTGTAACTTATCTGGTGTTACTGTAATTATACGTTGTTATTTAAACTTATTAGTTTACGTAATTTATCTGTGTGTTCCGTAACTTATTTGTGTTCTGTAATTTAAAACGGGTGTTACTGAATTTATACTTGTGTTTACTGTAACTTATGCTGTGTGTTACTGTAACTTATATGGGGTTTTCTGTAACTTATCTTGTGTTACTGAACTTCACTGTGTTTCTGTTATTTATACTGTGTGTTACTGTAACTTGTACTGGGTTACTGAAACTATATGGTGTTACTGAAAACTTTACGGTTTACTTTTATTTATACTGGGGGTTTTTTTACTTTTGGTTTTAAAATAAAAATTTATACTGGGTTATTTAAACTTTTTATGTGTTTTTCTGTAATTTTCTGTGTTTTCTGTAACTTTTTCTTTTTTTACTGTAACTTATACTGTTGTTACTTTTACTTATACTGTGTTTTTTACTGTAACTTATCGTGTTACTGTAACTTTACTGTTTTTGAACACGGGGAAAATTTAAACTGTGTGTTACTGTAACTTTTAACTTGTTTTTTTTACTGGGTTTTACTTATCTGTGTTTACTGAACTTTACGTGTTTACTGTTACTTATACTGTGGTTTTGTAATTTTATATGTTTTAAAGTTTAAACGGGGGTTTTGTTTATACGTGTGTACTGAAAAATTTTGTGGTGTTACTGAAAATTATCTGTGTGTTACTGTAATTAACTTTTGTTAGTAATTTAAACTTTTTTTTTTGTTTAAAACCTGAAAAATTATACTGTGTGTTCTGAATTTTATTGTGGTTTTACTTTTTTACGTATTTATTTTTGTTACTGTAACTTTATGTGTTTTTACTTTTTTTTACTTAAAATGTGTTACTTTTTACTTAAAACGTGTTTAAACTGTAATTATACTGGTGTTTTAAACAAATTTTTTTATTTAAATACGTGTGTTACTTAATTTAACTGTTTTTACTGAATTATCTGTGTTACTTTAACTTTTTACTTTTTTTTAACGGGTTTTACTTATTGTGTGTTACTTTTATTTTAAACTGTGTGTTACGTAACTTATATTTGGGTTTAGTAATTTAAAATGTGTGTTATTTTATTATATTGTGTTTGTACTGTAACTTAATTAACTGTGTTCTGTAATTTACTTGTGTTACTGTTTTTTTTAAAAATTTTTTGTGTGTTCTGTAACTTTACTGGTTTACTGTTTTCCTTTTTTTAATACTGTTTTACTGAAACTTATCTGTGTTATGTAACATACGTGTGTTACTTTTATTAACGTGTTACTGAAACTTTCTGTTTTACGTAACTTATACGTGTTTACTGTAACTTATAGGTTTTTTTACTTTTTTTACTTTATCTGGGGGTTTACTGTAACTTTTATGTTTTACTGTAATTTATCTGTTTTTCTGTAACAAACTTGTTTTTACTTTTCTTATACTTGTGTTACGAAACTTATGTGTGTTACGAACTTATATTGTGTTCTGTAACTTATCTGTTGTTACTGTAACTTATAAGTGTGTTATTTCTTATATTGTTTTTTTACAAAAATTATCTTGTTTACTGTAATTATCGTGTGTTTACTAAAAATTTCGTTTTACGAAAATTAAACGTGTGTTACGTAACAAACTTGTGTTACGTCTTTTAACTGGTTTTACTGTAACAAAATTTGTGTTACTGAATTTACTGGTGTTACTTTTACTTTCTTTTTATGTTTTTAATGTGTGTTACTGAAAATTATATTTTTGTTACTGTAACTTATATGTGTTTCTTTTAATTTATGTGTGTTTTTTATTTTTTGGACAAAATTTTTGTGTTTACGGTAATTATACTGTGTGTTATTATTTTCTGTGTTTACTGTAACTTATCTGTTTTTTACTGTAACTAACTGTGTGTTACTGTCTTTTGTTTTACTGTAACTTTACGTTTTACTGTAACTTATACTGTTTACTGTAACTTACTTTTTTTACTTTTTCTTATACTGTGTGTTACTGAAACTTATACTTTTTACGGTAATTATACGTGGTTACGAAACTTATACTGGGTTACTTAACTTTACGTTTTTTACTGAAATTTAAACTTTTTTACGAAACTTAACTTGTGTTATTTAAACTTATCTGTGGTACTGTAATTTTAACTGTGGTTACGTAACTTAACGGTTTCTGTAACTTATTTGTGTTACTGTTTATACTGTGTGTTACGAAACTTAAAACTTGGTTATGAACTTATCTTTGTTACTGTTTTTATCTGTGTGTTACTTCTTACTGTGTTTACTGTAACTTATACTTTTTTACTGAACTTATACTTTTTACTGTAATTATCTGTGTTTTACTGTAACTTAACTGTTTAAAAAAAATTTTTTAAAAAAAACTTTTTAAACTTTTACTTTTTACTGTAATTAACTGGGGTTACTGTACTTTATCCTGTTTTTTTTTGTTTACTGTAACAAAACTTGTTACTGTAACTTATACGGGTTGTTATGTTACTTAACTGTGGTTACTTAACTTATACGTGTTACTGTAATTATACTGTGTTACTGAATTAACTTTTGTTTACTGTAATTTAAACTGTTTTTTACGTACTTATCTGTTACTGTAATTTTTAAATGTTTTTTACGAAAAATTATCTGGTGTTACTGTAATTTATACTGTTACGAAAACTTATATTTTTGGTTACGAAACTTATCTGTGTGTACTGTAATTTTAAACTTGTTTTACTGAACTTATACTTGTTTACTGTAACTTATACTGTGTTTACTGTTTTTTTAAACGGGGTTTTACTGTAACTTTCGTGTTACTGTACTTTACGTTTTACTTTTATTTAAAAACTGTGGTTCGTAATTTTATACGGGGTTTTACTAACTTAACTGTGTAATGAAACTTTTGTGTGTTACGTAACTTATACTGTGTTTACTGTAACTTAACGTTTACTTAACTTATACTGTTTGTTACTGTACCTTATGCTGTGGTTACTGAACTAACTGTGGTTACTGAACTTATACTTTTGTTACTGTAACTAACGTGTTTACTGTAACTTATACTGTTTTACTGTAACTTATCGTTGTTACTGTAACTTATACGTGTGTTATGAATTAACTGTTTTACGTAACTTAAAGTGTGTACTGTTTTTTACTGTGTGTTACTGTACTTATACTTGTGTTAGGGTAATTTACTATGTTACTGTAACTAAAACTGTGTGTACGTAACTTATACTGTGTTACTGAATTTAAACGTGTGTTACTGTAACTTAACTTGGTTACTTTAACTTTTTCTCTGTTTCTGTAACTTAACTGTTTTTACGAACTTATACTGTGTGTTAGCAATTATACTGTGTGTTACGTAACTTAATGGTGTTTTTAAACTTATGGGGTTGTTACGTAATTTAACGTGTTTACGTAATTATACTGTGTTTTTAAGTAATTATACTGTTGTTACTGAACTTATCTGTGTCTACTGTAACTTATAGTGTTTACGTAACTTAAACTGTGTGTTACTGAACTTTATTTTGTTTTTACTGTAACTTATACTTGGTTACGTCTTATGCTGTGTTACTGTAATTTGCTGGGTTACTGTAACTTTATATTTGGTGTTACTGTAACTTAGCTTTTGTGTTACTGAAATTTATACGTGTATTAGTAACTTAAACTGTGTTTTACTGTAACTAAGCTGGTGTTACGTAACTTATTCTGTGTTCTGAAAATTTTATATGTGTGTTACTGAAACTTGCGTGTGTTACTGTAACTTATACTGTGTGTTACTGTAACTTATACTGTGTGTTACTGTAACTTATACTGTGTGTTACTGTAACTTATACTGTGTGTTACTGTAACTTATACTGTGTGTTACTGTAACTTATACTCTGTGTTACACTCACACAAATACAGGGTAATTGTGTTTGCTCCACGATTCGGTCTAACATTTTGAAAGTACACATTTTGACACAATGTTAACACATTTTAGACAAAATTTCGACTTTTTAGGCAAGGACTGTGATGACGAGATTCCAGGCTGTCTGGTGGCGATTGAAACTTTCAAACAAAAGACTGATAGCTTGGACTAAAAGGGCAGCAACCCCATGGGGGTATTCTATTTCCACCACAATGTCTTTCCCCCATGACATTTCGGCCTGAGAGGAACGTTTCGTCATACTAGCGGGCATAATCTGCATATGGCGTCTTCGCCTGCTTATGCGACCAAACGAAATGCACGAAAACCCTCCACCGGGAAACCACAAAAAGTTCTAAAACCCCCCATCAAGGGCAATCGATGCCCAAGAGGAAACCAGACAAGATACTCTTGTAAAAACCAAGACAAAGGGCAAAAAAAGGGGCCTCTGGATTTCATTTTTTTGAAGAACCCACCTATGTGGTGTATTTAGAAATGGGTTGTGGGAAATAAATGCCCCAAGCCTGCTATACACCCCGTGTTGGAAGCTATGGGCCGAGTGCTTACGAGAACTCGTTGTAGCCTGTATATTTCAGTGTGCGACTTCTGCGCCGCCGGGGTGTGGGGATGGTCACAATAAAAGATTATTAAGACTCCTAGCTTTTATTGGGGGTGAAATATATCTTCTTTCTACTTACTACTGTTACGACTACTACCGCTACTATTATTTGTACAACCACTACTAACGTTACTATTATTTCTAATATTACGGCTACTACTACTGCTAATGTTACTTCTACTAATAATGTTACTACGACTACTACTACTACTAGTACTACTACTGTTGTTACTATTACTGGTACTACCACTATTACATTTACTTCTACTACTACTACTACTACTACTTGCCTCCTGACCTGTTTTCTGTTATCCTCAACTAATCTGTCCACTGACCTAGTAGTGGACGAGTGGAACAGTCTACCCAGTAGTGGATGTTAGCACTGATAAACACATGTGTGAGAGTGGGATATATTTAAGTGGGATTTGCACATGAGTGAGAGGTGATGGATTTAAGTGGAACTTGTACATAAATTAATAAAGCTATCAAAGTTTATTCCCTGGGTAACATTGATAATATGTTGGGCGAATATTTTTGTTAGTGGGTTTGGGTTTGAGAAGGACTTGCCTAGTATGGGCCAGTAGGCCTGCTGCAGTGTTCCTCCTCCCTTCTTATCTTAACACAACACTGGTAAAGAATTAGACACATGTGCAACATCTCTTATATATAATTCTCCATTCTTCACATCATATCCTTGTATTGATAAAGCCACTGGTGAGCGAAACGTCTACATGTGTCTAATTCACCATGTTGTATGTACTGTATATCATTCATGTATAACACATACACCACCTCATACAAGCAGGCCTCCCTCAGACTGGTCACAGGTGGAGTTTCATGCCTCTTAGTGCCACTATGTACCACTCTATGGCAACTTCTGGCTGCCACCACTATGCTGGCACTCTGCACGGCAACATTCTGGACTCTGATCAACATCTTGTTAGCTGATCAGTTTGGAGATGAATCCATGGCAACCACCTGGGGATTCTTCAGGATGACTCAGGGAGTCTGCAGTCTCTTCTACCCGGCCATTATAGGTAACATCATGTTATATATACACTATGTTATATATACACTCAGTATATTATATACGCACTAACTATGTTATATATACACTCAGTATATTATATACGCACTAACTATGTTATATATACACTCAGTATATTATATACGCACTAACTATGTTATATATACACTCAGTATATTATATATGCACTCTGTATGTTATATATACACTCTTCATATTATACACATATTCAGCATATTATAAGCATACTCACATCATCATCATCATCATCATCATACTACTACTACTACTAATAATAATAATAATAATAATAATAATAATAATAATAATAATAATAATAATAATAATGGTATATACAGGTATGGTATTAGACCAGAGTGGTGGTATGGGAGTACCATACATGATGATGGGAGGAATGTTGATGCTGGGAGCATCCATCATCTCACTGCAGCCTCTCATAGCTACCATCTCAGGCGCCAAGGTCAACATTGATTAAGAAGATAGGAAGGAACAGCCCTACTGGACTATGCCAGGCACCTCTTGACCTTTGACCCCGTCACAATAAGAAGACTAGAGCACTGCAGTGGACCTACTGACCTATGTTAGGCAGTTTTTTACACACTGGTTGTCAGTTATGTAGTGTGGTAATGACAGTTTAGGGTTGACAGTATAATACTTCATGTAATGTGCTGCCATAGTTTACCTTCACGATTATGTTAAATAAATAATATTAAAGAACCAAGCTTTGATTGTTCCTTTACTGGTGAGAGATGCACACACAAATATATGTATATATATATAATATATATATATATTATTATATATATATATATATTATATATATATATATATATATATATATATATATATATATATATATATATATATGTCGTGCCGAATATGTAAAACTGGTCAATTAGCAAGAACCCTTTAAAATTAAGTCCTTTCTGAAATTTTCTCTTATACATTTAAAGATATATTTTTTCATTAATGATATATATATTATATATATATATATATATATATATATATTTATATATATATATATATATATATATATTGTCGTGCCGAATATGTAAAACTGGTCAATTAGCAAGAACTCATTTAAAATTAAGTCCTTTCTGAAATTTTTTTTTAATTTAAAGATATATTTTTTCATTAATGTTAATGTAAAAAATTTTTAATTTTGCCCAAAAGGAACTTGAAAACTTACCAACCTTGTTATAAAAAGACCCTTTTATTTTAGCTAACCCAATAAATATATTTTAAAATTTGTTTACATAATTTATTACTAAACAAAAAACGGTGAAATATATTTTTTCGTAGGTTCAGAAGATTTTGGCGAAATTATTTCATACAAAATTTTCACTTGTCTATATGCAAGATGAGCGTTGTATTTAAGCCAAGATCGCAAGTTTGCAATTCGGCACGACATATATATATATAAAAATATATATATATATATATATATATATATATATATATGTGTGTGTGTGGGGTGTGTGTGTGTGTGGTTGTACATGGGGTTGGTGCAGCCAACGGAAAGCCTGGTTGATGAGGCCCTGAATCCACCGAGGTCTGGTCAAGACCGGGCCGTGGGGCGTTACTCCGAAACCTTTCGATATAAAATTTATATATATATATATATTAAATATATATAAAATATATATAATAATATAATATAAAAATATACAGGGTAATATATATATATATATATTTATAATAATATATAGAGAGAGAGAGAGAGAGAGAGGAGAGAGAGAGAGAGAGAAGAGAGAGAGAGGAGCGAAAAGAGAGGAAGAGAGGGGAGGGGAGAGAGGAAGGAGAGGAGAGAGAAAAGAGAGAAAAAGAGAGAGAGGAGAGAGAGAGGAAGAGAGAGAAGAGGAAAGAGAAAGAGAGAGAGAGAGAGAGAGAGAGAGAGAGAGAGAGAGAGAGAGAGTGTGTGTGAGAGAGCATATACATCACAGTTAGTGTATGATACAGCATAGAATCACCTCCTAACATGCTGGTTGTTGTTACGGTCACACACTACCTTCCTGCTGGGAAGGGCTCTTCATCCAAGGATCTGAAGCAGCCTCTCCCTTCCTCAGATCAAACTTTATTACCTTTCATTGCCCAGGGGCTGTGTGGCCCCTGTGGGTCCCAGTGGCTGTGTGGCCCCTGCGGGTCTCAGGGGCTGTGTGGCCCTTGTGGGTCCCAGGGACTGTGTGGCCTCAAATTCAAATTCAAATTCAAAGTTTATTTTCTATAAGTATTACAATGCTGAGTTTACAGAAATTTGGTTATTGTTTGATTTACATGTAGTAAAATTGTGATTACAGAGTGTACCACTAGAACGCTTAGCATGGCTAGGCATTTCGGGCATACTTAGTTTTATTCTTAATTGTAAAATATTACAAATTATGAGGTAAGTTGGTATTATGGCTAAGTGACTAAATACTAGTTTGTGAGTTTAGCAATGTGAATGCTTTTGTTTTGGCACAGTACATAGTTTCAGTATTGGAGTATCACAGGATTCATTATTTTAAGACTGAGATTAATATTTCTGTTTATGGTCAAATGAGTGAGTGAGTGTAAGTGTGAACCACCAGGTGGTTTCGTGTAGTTTGTTGACGGGGGTATCAGGGAGATAAGATGGGTTTTTTAATGGTAGTTTTTAAGGTGATGAATTTTGTTCTGCAGTTCTAGAGTTCTCAGGTAGGGCATTCCGATTTTAGGGCCTTTGACATACATTGAATTTTTGTAAAGGTTTATTGTCGGACACGGGGAATGTCGTAGAGATGTTTGTGTCTGGTGTTATGCCTGTGGGTTCTGTCAAACTATCAGAAAGCGTTTTTAGGTCAAGGTTGATATTAGGTTTAAGGCCCCTGTAGATATAGATTGCACAGTAGGGAAGTGTGGATGTACTGACTGGAGTTAAGTTTAGATCTATGAAGAGTGGGGGGGGGGGTGTTGCCAGGGATGGGATTTAGTGATTATTCTTACTGCAGCTTTTTGTTGGGTTATTTTGGCTTTAGGTGTGTTGCTGCAGTTGATCCCCAAGCACCCAAATAGCATAGGTGAGGTATGGATAAAATAAGTGAGTGGTTTTAGTGTGAGAGGGCCCTTTTGCGGGCACGTAGTATCGTATCTTGGAGAGGATCCCACCGTTTTGGATACTTTTTTGGCTATATGCTGGATTGGGTGCTGAAATTCAGGTTGTTGTCAAGGTATAAGCCTAGGATTTTTCCCCCCTTTTTTTGGTAATTAGAGTGTTGTCAATCTTAATGTTTAATTTGTGATCTCCTGCTCTGCTACCAAAAAATAAAATAGTAGGTTTTGTCAGTGATAAGCGTAAGTTTATTGGCTGTATCCAAGTCGATATTTAATAGCTCCTCATTCACAAAAGGTGTTGGGGTGGCAAGATTAGGGTGAGAGATGACATAAGTCGTGTCATCAGCAAGAGAATGGGTTTCAGGGGTTGGGATACGTCTGGAAGGTCATTGATGTATATGAGGAAGAGCAGGGGACCAAGGACACTTCCCTGCGGAACTCCAGTATCAGTGGCCGTGTTGCTGATGCTGTGTCTTTAATGGTGCGTACTGATACCTATTAGTAATGTAAGATTTGAAATAAGCAAGCGCTGGCCCCTTATACCGTAGTGATCAGTTTGTGGGAGTAGGATGTCATGGTTTACGTGTCAAAAGCTTTTCTTAGGTCAATAAAAATTCCTAGTGGATATTCCTTATTTTCCAATGCTGTGTAAAGCAGATCTAGCATTTTTATGATTGCATATTTGTGCTTTTTTTTTCCTGAATCCAAAACTGGCAGGGGTTTGGGTTTATGTTTTGAGCCGTTTTTAAGAATACAGTCCCCTGTGCACGAGTTTCTCAAAGATTTTGGATAGCAATGGTAAGTTAGATATTGGCCCTTATTGTTGTTTAAGTCTGTAGGGTCACCACCTTTATGTATTGGTGTAACCCTTGCCATCTTGAGTAGTTTCGGGAAGGTGCTAGTCTCTATTGACTTGTTAAAAGTAATGAAATAGCTTGCAAAAGGACATGGGCCGCTCGCTTTGTACAGTAATGGTGGGACTGAGACAGATTCCCCGAGTTATTTTTAAGTGACTTTATGATCTCAATGACTTCCGTGGGCCCCGTTGGTGCAAGATAGAAGGAATTAGGGAAATTTCCATCTAGGTAGCCCCCGGCATGGGCATTGGTATGTGGGATTTTACTGGCGAGATAGATCCTATGTTTGGAAGAAGTCGTTTTATCTTGTTAGCTGTGTCAGTGGGATGTAGTGGTGTTTCATTAGGGGTTTTGTTAGGACAATATTCTTGGTTTTTCTCAGTTTGTGGGTCCCTAGAATTGAGAGAGTGTTTCCAGGTCTTTTTTATATCTCCTCTAGTGTCTGGAATCTACTGGAGTAGTATAGTTGTTTGGCTTTTTTTATTACTTTGGTGAGAGCTGATGAATAGTGTTTAAGAGTATCTTTGTGTATTAAGCCCTGTCTATATTGCTTTTCATATTGGTGTTTCTTGTCAATGGATTTCAGAATGTTGCTGGTTAGCCATGGGCAACCAAGCCGTTTGTTTGTGATCTGTTTTGTTTTTATAGGACAATGTTTGTTGTATAGTCTAAGTAATTTGTCAAGAAAAATGTCTGTCCAGTCATCAATACCATTGGCCTTGGAGAATTCTGTAGGCCAATCAACAGTCTCTAGGTCAGCTGTGAACTTCAGGGGCTGTGTAGCCCCTGTGGGTCCCAGGGACTGTGTAGCCCCTGTGGATTTATTAACCATACTTTTGTCGCCTCATATGTCTCCATATAAACTCTCAAATTTATCTACAACAGTTCAGAATGTAGTATTTATTTGCCAGAAATTAGTTTAAATTTCTACATTACAGTCATCAGCAAGTGTTCAAATTATCTGCTGTAGTTGTTAATTACCTCTCCCATTATTTCTCCACTTTCTTCTTGGTCTCTTTCTCTCATCCCTTTCCTCCTCTCCTATAATAATAATGTAATAATAATAATAATAAATAATAATAATAATAATAAAAATAATAATAATAATAATAAAAAATAATAATAATAATAATAATAATCGTAATAATAATAATGATAATAATAATAAAAATAATGTAATAAATAATAATAATAATAATAATAATAATAATAATAATAATAATAATAATAATAATAAATAATAATAATAATAATAATTATAATTTTAATTAATAATCGTAATTTGTAATAATAATAATAATAATCATAAAATAATATTATAATAATAATAATAATAATAATAATAATATAATAATAAATAATAATCTTTATTTCTACAAGTACATGATACAACTTGTACAGACCATAGCTGACATCAATGACATACTGTATAGAAAGTTTCTGATTATTCAGAGCATTTCCCGCAACTTAGGTTAATTTTGTTCCCCAGGATGCCACCCACACCAGTCTGCTAACACCCGGGTACCTAGTTACTGCTAGTTGAACATGGATAGTAGGTGTCTTAAGGAAACACGTAGTAATGTTTCCACCCGTACCGGGGATTGAACCATGGACCTCAGTGTGTGAGCTGAGTACGCTACCAACCCACTATACAGCCATGCGTCGCTTAACTAGTGTGTGTGTGTGTGTGTGTGGGTGTGTGTGTGTGGGTGTGTGTGAGGGTGTGTGTGTGGGTGTGTGTGAGGGTGTGTGTGTGTGGGTGTTGGTGTGTGTGTGTGTGGGTGTGTGTGTGTGGGTGTGCGTCCTTGTGTGTATGCATATATTTGTACGCTCGTGTGCACATGTCCGTGCGTGCGCCCTCGTGTGTGTATGTGCGCGCGCGCGCTAGTGTGGGTGTATGATCCACTTAATATTTGTATTTATAACTCATTACAATTGTGACCAGGTGTGGACGTATCAGTGGTTCATTACTTTGTAAATTTGTTCATGACTGTAACCATGTATAGGAGTGAAGCTGATTCATTACCTCTGTAACTTGCCATGATTAGTGACCAGATCTACCTGGAGTTCATTACCTTTGTAACTAGTTCAGCTATCATAACTTTGGGTCCAGTCACTGGACCCATTATGTACCTTTGTAATCTTTTGACTACCGCCCACAGGATGGTATGGGGTGCATAAAGATATTAAACTAAAGTGTGTGTGTGTGTGTGTGTGTGTGTGTGTGTGTGTGTGTGTGTGTGTGTGTGTGTGTGTGTGTGTGTGTGTGTGTGTGTGTGGTGTGTGTGTGACTCAACAATCAATATTTGCACCAATAACTCATTACAGTTGTGACCGGTGTGGAAGTGTGAATTGCTACATTACTCTATAATTTGTTCATGATTGTAGCCAAAGTATAAACGTAAGTAACCATTCTACAGAATTCATTACCTTTGTAACTTGTGAGCTCATTACCTTGTACTAGTTCAGCTATCAAAACTTTGGGGGCCCAGTCCCTGGACCCATTACGTACCTCTGTAATCTGTAAATACCTTTGTAACTTGTCATGATTGTGACCAGACTTACCTGGAGTTCATTACCTTTGTAAATTGTGAGTTCATTACCTTTGTAAATTGTGAGTTCATTACCTCTGTAACTTGCTCAGCTATCAAAACTTTGGAGTCCAGTCCCTGGACCAATTATGTACCTCTGTAATCTTTTGACTACCGCCCACAGGATGGGTATGGGGTGCATAATAAACATATTAAACTAACGTCGCTTAACGACGGGGATACGTTCTGTGAAATGCGTCGTTAGATTTCGCCGTTGTGCGAACGTCATAGAGTGTATTTAAACCTAGATGATATATATAGCCTACTACACATCTAGGCTATATGGTATATCCTAGGTACTACAAACCTTTAATGTGGTCGTAATACCTGGGTCAGTCTTAGTAAGACCCACTCGCTGGACCTTCTGGTCGTAAGACCGAGGTCTTTTTATGCTTCATCACTTCCAGCTATTAAAAAGTATGCAACACATCACAATATTTTAAACGTCATTAAAACCCCCAGACTCACATTATTGCTTCCTGACATTCCTGGCAACTCTCTGTAATATAATTCACATCACATATATCGGTAAATAACTCATCGTCAACATATGTAAATGTTTTATTCCCTACAACACAGCTGCTACATTCACACACCTTCAGGGAGAAATGTATATGTTGTGAGGTGAAACAAGATCAGTTGCCTCCAGCATTGATCCACTCCATGACCTCTTCTTCCAGAAGTTCAAGAGAACCCACAGAGTCCAAGACAACATCATGGAACTTCTTGAGGTCAAAGTTGTCAAGTAGAATATTGGTTGCTGTATCCCTCAACTCCTTCAACTTGAGCTGACCCACCTTGTAGGCTAGCGCCTGACCCGGCCAGCAGATGTAGCGATCAACCTCATTCTGAAGAATGATGATATTTTGAGATTTTTGGAGGAATTATTTTGAATTTCTGAATTTGTGAAGTATACACAGGGTATACACCCCCACTCAGTGTATGTATACACGACTTATTACCAGACAGCATAGGCCAGTAGACCTACTGTAGTACCTCACTGGTCTTAGGCTCTCAAAGCTAACTTTAAATCACGCAAACACTACAGGGACCCCCTCTCAGCATTTACAACACCCACAAGGATCTCAACAACTACAACACCCACAAGGATCTCAACAACTACAACACCCACAAGGATCTCAACAACTACAACACCCACAAGGATCTCAACAACTACAAACACCACAAGGATCTCAACAACTACAACACCACAAGGATCTCAACAACTACAACACCCACAAGGATCTCAACAACTACAACACCCACAAGGATCTCAACAACTACAACACCCACAAGGATCTCAACAACTACAACACCCACAAGGGCCTCAACATGTACAAGACCTACTTCGATATCTTGAAGAGCTAGCGCGGTGTGTAGAAGCAGGTAGTCAATAGCCTCCTGGCGTGTCCAGCCGAAGGCATGCATACCCGTGTCCACTACAAGGCGACAAGCACGGAAGATCTCGTCCGAGTAGTGCCCATATCTGTCCAAAAATAATTGTTATATGTTTCTTTGAAAACGTATAATCTCGAATTATAGCCGAGAATTATAAAATATTGTCAGGTTTGGAACGGAATTGTGTACTGTCGACAATAGTGAGACGAAACGATGCAGAGGAAGTTTTGAAATAGACAATGTTTCTCTCAGTGAGGAGCTTTATCATGACTTTAGAAAGCTTTACAGGGAGCGAAACGTTGTCGTAATAAAAGCTTCTTCTGCAACCTGTGTCTTTATTATCAATATGGCATAACTGGTAGACATTGTCTTCAGCAAAACAAGCAATAATACGAAAGTTATTTTCAAAAAGCCGAAACGTCAAATTCACGAGGTTTCGCCCATGGTAAGGCTTTTTCTCCAAGGTTGATGGTTTGATTCCATCATCTTTATTTCACTACTACATCTGCTACCTTTGAATTTGACTGAAGAAACGTACTGTGCGAAATATTTCGTCAGTAAAGATACCCAGATATTGCACATGTGTCTTAATCTTCCATAACATACCTGTCGTAGAGATCCTCGAAGAGATCCATGTCGAAGCCGAGTGACTCAGCGTACAGACCCCAGCCTTCTATGTACCCGGTGTTCATTGGGAATCTAGAGGGAGCTTGCCAGTAGTTCCTGTCCTCACTCACCCTCCTGAAGTAAGGTATGTTGGGGTTCTCTATGCTGTGGGAACCCTGCAGGTGGTGGCCTGGGTTCCCCTCGTGTAGGGACAATGTCAACATCTCGTACTTAGCCCTGAGAAGATGAGAGTCTGTGTTTGAAACTGGCATAAAATACAGACAAGTTGATGATTAAGACACATGTGCAATATGTGGGTATCTTTATTTGTAGAAATATCTTCAATCAGTGGTTTTATCAATACAAGAACATAAAGTGAAGAATTATGTACAAAAAATGGAGTGATCAGTCCCTCAGTCTCGACGCTTTATATAAGCACCGAGCTCCGTGACGGTGCGTCATATTCTTCAAGACTACGGTGATCTTCACCAACTCCAAGGCTGAGGGACTGATTACCTTCTGTTTTGTATATAATTATTCACATTATGTCCTTGAATTGTACTGATAAAGCCACTGGTTAGCGAAACGTCTACAAATAAAGATACCCAGATGTTGCACGTGTCTAATTCTTTATCAAGATGAGATGTTGCTGGATCACTCACTCGGTGATTACTTTTTGTAGACAGAGGCACAGGTTGCTGCTACTGAGAAAACGTTCCGCTCCGTGTAGAGATTTAACAAGTGATGATAAATCTTCACACAGAGCGAAACGTTGTCCCTAAGCTTGTTTTGCAACTTCTGATCTCATATTCAAACAGTAGGAGCTAGTATATTGACTTCACACAAGTGTTGCGAGTCTGTACTAGCTTCCTCGCTACAACAAGTGTGTAGTAAACTTACTGAGCGTCGTAGTAGTAAGTGTTGACGTAGAAGACACCAGGTCTAGACCCGTCGTAAGAACCAGAAATGTAAAAGGCTCCAGATCCGTCCATTGAATTATCAGCCACTACCCTGTCAAGTAAGTTTAACATGTAAGTCTGTGCTGCTTGCCACAACAATAAATGAATTACGTGCTAAGAAAAGCCATATAATTAAGTGTACTCGCCTAACTCACCTAACTCTGGTTGCAGGGGTCGAGTCATAGCTCCTGGCCCCGCCTCTTAACTGGTCGCTACTGGGGCACTTCCTGCTCCATGCGCTTTATCATACCTCTTCTTAAAGCTATGTACGGATCCTGCCTTCATTACATCACTTCCCAGACTATTCCACTTCCTGACAAGTGACTGAAGAAATATTTCCTAATGTCCCTGTGATTCATCTGAGTCTTCGGCTTCCAACTGTGACCCTTTGTTGCTGTGTCCCATCTCTGGAACATCCTGTCCCTGTCCACCCTGTCGCTTCCTCTCAGTATTTTATATGTCGTTATCATATCCCCCCTATCTCTCCTGTCTTCCAGTGTCGTCAAGTCGATTTCCCTTAGCCTCTCCTAGTAGGACATACCCCTTAGGTCCGAGACTAGTCTTTTTGCAAACCTTTGCACTTTCTCTAGTTTCCTCACATGCTTGGCTAGGTGAGGGTTCCAAACTGGTGCTGTATACTTCAATACGGGCCTAACATACACAGTGTACAGGGTCCTGAATGACTCCTTATTTAGATGTCGGAATGCTATTCTTAGGTTTGCTAGGCGCCCATATGCTGCAGCAGTTATTTGGTTGATGTGCGCCTGAGATGTGCCTGGTGTTATACTCACCCCATGATTCTTTTCCTTGAGTGAGGTTTATAGGCTCTGGCCCCCCTACATTGTACTCCGTCTGTGGTCTTCTTTGCTCTTCCCCAATCTTCATGACTTTGCACTTGGTGGGATTGAACTCTATGAGTCATTTGCTGGACCAGGCCTGCAGCCTGTCTAGATCCCCCTGTAGTTCTGCCTGGGCTTCGTCGGATTGCATTCTTCTCATCAACTTCACATCATCCGCAAACAGGGACACTTAAAAGTCTAGTCCTTCTGTCATGTCGTTCACAAATACCAGAAACAGCACCGGTCCTAGGACTGACCCCTGTGGAACCCCGCTCGCCTTGCCTGTTATCCCTGCCTGGTCCTCCAGCTTTTGCACTAATCTCTTGTGTGGAACTGTGACAAACACCTTCATACAGTCCAAGAAAATGCAATCTACCCAGCCCTCTCTCTTTCTGGTCATACTGCTGTAATCCTGTCACAGAATTCCAGTTCGTTTGTGACACAGAATCTCCCGTCCCTGAAACCGTGCTGGCTGTTGTTGATAAGCTCATTCCTTTCTAGGTGCTCCACCACTCTTCTCCTGATAATCTTCTCCATGACTTTGCATACTATACTTGTCAGTGACACTGGTGTAGTGTTTCTGGAGTCCCATCTGTCTCCTCTGTGAACACTTCTTTGAATTTCATGTTGAGCTCCTCACATACTTCTCGGTCGTTTCTTGTGATCTCCCCTCCTTCCTTCCTCAGCCTGATTGCCTGTTCCGTGACTGTTGTTTTTCTCCTGATGTGGCTGTACAACAGCTTCAGGTCAGATTTGGCTTTCGCTGCTATGTCATCTTTCGTATTGTCGTTGGGGCTCCCTTCTTACCTATGCATATACGTTTCTGGCTCTACGACTGCTCTCCTTATTCTCCTGGGACCTTTGCCTTCTATACTTCTTCCATTCTCTAGCACACTTGGTTTTGGCCTCTCTACACCTTTGGATGAACCAAGGGCTCATCCTGGATTTCTCGTTATTTCTGTTACCCTTGGGTACAAACCTCTCCTCGGCTTCCTTGCATATTGTTGTCACATATTCCATCATGCATATTGCTGTCACATATTCCATCATGCATATTGTTGTCACATATTCCATCATGCATATTGTTGTCACATATTCCATCATGCATATTGTTGTCACATATTCCATCATGCATATTGTTGTCACATATTCCCCCATGTGGCTCCAGGTTTTCCCAGTCGATTTCCTTGCAATTAAAGTCATTCACAATTAGCAGTTTTGCCCTGCATGCATGAGCCCTTCTGGCCACTTCAGCCAGTGTGTCAACCATCACTCTATTACTCTCCTGCTGCTCTGTGGTGGGCTATACATCACTTCAGTTACCACCCTGGGACCTCCAGACTGAAGTGTTCTTACTATGTAGTCTCTTGCTTCTCCTCTGTCTCCTTTCTCCAGCTCATCAAAATTCCATTGGTTTTCGATGAGCAGTGCCACTCCTCCACCCCCTCTGTCTTTCCTCAGGATCTGATATCCCATTGGAAAGATGGCATCTATTATAATTCCTGTGAGCTCGGTGTCTGTGAGACCTATGGTGTCCGGTGATGCCTCTTTGACTCTTTCATGGCACTCCTCCCACTTATTCATTATTCCATCAGTGTTGGTGTACCATACCTTCAGTTTCCTCTCCAACACTGTGTTCTGGGGGGTCTGTGAGGGTGGGGGAACTGGCAGTGTGCTGTGGGATTCTATAGCGTAGTGTGGGGTGGGGGCTGTAAGTGTGGATTGTGGGTTCTGTTAGGATAGCGTGTTTGGTTGTGGGGTTCTGAGGGTGGTTCTGTGTGTGCTTGTGCTTGTTGCTCTTCCATGCTCTGGTTGTCCTCTGCTGACTCTCTCCTTGTCTCTCTTCCAAGCCCCTTTTGTTTCCGTGCACTCTCCCTCAACTGCTGTCATTTTGTTCTTGTTCCGTTGCGGTCTAGGAACACTCTCTTGTATGTTGATGATTCCTTCAGCCGTGGTTTCTCTTGCAGGATCCTGTTCTGCACCGTTTATGTCTTGAAAATCAGTTTGACCGGCCCATTTCTCCGTTCAAG